ATAATTCGTGATGCAACAGTAGATAATCAATAATTCGTGATTCAACAGTAGATAATCAATAATTTGTGATTCAACAGTAGATAATCAATAATTTGTGATGCAATAGTAAATAATCAATAATTCCTGATACTATAATACACAGTCTGCCGTTCCCAATCCTGAGTTGCTGTGGTTTCGGTCGGAGAGGTCAGCACTTCACAAGGGTGACCCCAGAGCTCCTCCTCTGTTCTCTCCCCGATCCGAGAACTTCACTCAGATTTGGTTCCTATTCTTATACTCTCTAGCAGCATCTGGACAATAACCAGATCTTTCCTGGTCATTGTCCTGCATCCCCTAACTCTTGACCCTTGCTCTCCTCCTTCACTTACCAGTTTTCTAAAGAAGGTGTTGACTCTTACAGCCACATCACCTTTGGACCGTTATCTTCCTTCAGATCTGCTCACCTCATTCTGCACATGGTGTTCATTGTACCGGTAGCCCTCAGTGATGGGTTCTCACACGTTCCTTTACCCCTCGTGACTCTTCTCCTGACTCCTAATCTCCTCGTCCCAGTCTCCCTGTCCTGGCCTTGAAACTGTTTTCTGACATGATTCTTTGTTCTGGAAAATGTAACTTTGTCTAACTTCTTTGATAGCTCTAAACCAGTTTGTACCAGCCTGCCGACCACTAGGTTCCATTTCACTGCTTACTTCAGGGGTTTCATAGGTCATTCAATTGCCCATTTTCCTTATTAAACGACGGCAAGTACATTAGCCATAATTATATAAATCAACACTTATAGTCATGATCATACATAATAACATAATCATTATTTACAAATTGCTATATCAAATGCAAGAATTATTATAAATAGCCAATAGGTGTATCTAAACGTGCTCAACTCTAACCTAATAATAACAATAATAACCCTTACATTTGATATAGCATCTTATCATATCATTAAGACATCTCAAAGCGCTTCACATAATGTACTGTAAAGTGAAATTGACTGTATATTTTGTGGGAGAAATGCTCACTTGCCCACAGCAGTATCCCACAAACAGCCATGGATGGATTGAGTGACCAAATTATTATTTATTTATATTTGGAGAGCGCGGGAGAGTTCTGGATGATCTGCAGCCTATTGAGGGAGGAGTTGGGGAGGCCGACAAGCAGGGAGTTTGCATAGTTGAGCCTGGATGTTATGATGAGTGTATGAGGGTCTCGGCAGCCTGTACTGTCTGACAGTAGCGGAGCCAGCGGAGTTACTGAGATGGAGAGAGGCAAAACGGGTCATGGCACGGATGTGGGGTAGAAAGGATAGTTGAGGGTCAAACAAGACGCCAAGGTTCTGGACTGACTTAATAAGGTGTCCTGTAGCTCAGTGCTTACAGCACTCGCCTTTGCAAGCGAGAGACCTGGGTTCAATTCCCGGCAGGGTGAAACCTTGGGCAAGTTTCCTTACTCCACACGCCTGATAATAATCCCTCCAAAACAAAACAAAGTAATAAATTGGTCATTTTCAATCCACAACTGTTTGTGGGACACTGCTGCGCGCAATTGGCTGCCGCGTTTCACCCACAAATATATGGTCAATTCACTTTACAGTATATTCTGTGAAGTGCTTTGAGATGTCTAGAAGACGTGAAAAGTGCTATACCAAATGCAAGGATTGTTATTGTTATTGTTGAGTCTGCATCCTTGGATGGTGATGTTGTCAGCGCCTGAGGTGAGGAGGCACTGACGGGAGCCAATCAGGAGAGCCTCAGTCTTTTTGACGTTCAACTGTAGTAAAGTTAGCTCTCATCCAGGACTTGATGTCTGACAGATATTCTATCAGGACAGCAGTGGTCCTGGAGTCAAGGGTGGAGGCAGAGAGGTAGAGTTGGGTGTCATCCGCATACATGTGGAAGTTGACCCCATGCCTGCGGATGATGTCACCAACAGGGGATATATAGATATTGCAGAGAAGGGGACTAAGGGCAGAGCCCTGAGGAATTCTACATGAGATGGTGCGGGGGCTTGAGTAGAAGCCCTTTGTGAAGGTGAAGTGAAGACGGTATGAGAGGTAGGACTTAAACCACTCAAGGACCGAACCATGAAGGTTGAGGTGATAGGAGAGGAGATGGAGGAGTGGTAAATCTATAAACATAGCATTTCAAAGTGTGCAGAATCTGGCAACTTGTTGAATTCAGCTTTAAGTCTGAAGCTTATCTTCGGTAGCACTTAAAAGAAATTTACAGAAAAATTAAAGACTGAATTTAAGAAATTCTGGGCCCCCATTCCTGACAGTGATGCTAGCCATACATATGTATGTATAACTAGTACCATTGCCAGGAATGGGGATCCTGTAGCTCAGTGGTTAGAGCACTCGCTTTGCAAGTGAGAGACCTGAGTTCAATTCCAGGCAGGGCGAAACCTTGGGCAAGTTTCCTTACTCAACACGCCTAATAATAATCCCTCCAGCATGTGTTCTGTGAAGCGCTTTGGGACGTCCTCCCGACGTGAAAAGCGCTATATCAAATGCAAGGATTATTATTATTATTATCCTTTAATCTATTGCTGAAGTTTTATTCCTATCTGACCTACAATATCTAAGGTCTGCAATGTAATAAGCTCCCAAAGTTCTACAGATTTACCTGCACTACTGCATTGTGTACGTGTTGTTTTTAAAATAAAAAAAATAAAATGGATATAGAGTTTATTGAATCCAGTTATTTGCAAACTTTCAGTTAAGCCGGCAATCTTGCTTATAGTAGCTTTCTCACTGAGGCCAACTAACAGAAACAACAGTGTACGGGAGACACAATACTGTACATACAGCAAAAATAAACACAGTCGTCCTGTTTTGAGGTTTCTAGCTGTTGTGTTGAATGTGGCTATTATTTTATGTGAAGGTCTAATCCCTTGTTTAAAGTTCCCGAGGCTGAGTGACCACTCACCGCAGATGGGATCTTAGTGAAGACTTACAGTAGTTGTATTATAACATTTTTGTTGCACAAAACACTAATTAGTTCATCCCTGTGAAGTGCAAGGTTTCTTTTCCTCAGCAAAGCTGCCAGGATTCACTCACTCATGAATGATGAAAAACAAAGCCTATTTCATGGGGAAGCAGGGAGTAGAATCTTTTATTTGTCGTGACTTGTAGAGCTTTTTAGGTTTTAACTATTTGCTTGTGTAGGGTTTCTAAGCTAAAGCAACGAGAACTAATGCATGTTTCGGAGCAGCAATTGTAGAAAGCTGAAATAATAATAATCCCAAATTTGGGATGTGTATGATTAGGCTGTCCCAAAACACCAAGTAAGAATAAAACACTGAATGATTTATTCATTGTAGCTTTGAAAAGAAAACAAGAAAAAAGACTAATCTTATTGAAGGACGATTTGCCATTCCATTCCCTTATCTTTCTCGAACACCAGGACCCACTGGATGTTACTTCCCTCAGATCAAACATAACAGTAGCCCAGTTTGCGGAACACCATTTGTAAGTAGACCTATGGGAGCTGTTCAGATGTTGCATATCTCTGCGTAGGCCTGGCTGATCTGAGGTTTCAATGACTTACATTTGAGTCAGGATTTGGTTCTCATTGTAAATCAAATGTATTGCCCTGTGGAACAAGGGTAATCCACAGGGTATCATTTGGACAATAATAAAATGAAAACCTTGCCTGCAGTCCTAAAAAAATAGCATGATACTTCCTAAAAGTACCAAAGATCTTGTGCCTAATTCACATGCCCACTAAAAAAAAGAGATTACATTACATTTACCACAAAATTTTTTTTGGTTGGAGAAACTAATTTTTTCCATGTTATCTTAGAACACCATAAATTAGAGCATTAATGGTTTTATGTTACACTCAGAGTGAAGCAAACCATATAAAGGGTTTTCTTGTGACTGCGAAAAACTGCTGTAGTTCAAGAGCAGGAAGATTTTCAGTCACTCTGGTAATTTTAATCTGCCACCAACAGATCATAAAGTTAAGGGAATATTTAGATTCGGACATGCAGACGGTCGCTGCATATTAATACTCATTGTTTAGTGTCTGGTTATAACTCAACCAAAAAATGTGAGTGGTCCTGCTGTGTTGCTCTAACAGGCAGAATACAGAGGGCTGGAGTTTGAGTTGCAGCCTTCTGATATCTGAATATAATAATAATAAATCATAATAATGCTTGCATTTGATATAATGCCTTATCATGTATTCTGGATACCTCAAAGTACAGAATATACTTTAAAGTGAATTGGCTGTATATCTTTGGGCAAAATCTGGGAGTCTAATGCAGAAATGGACTGCATTTATGGAAGGTAATGGACCAGTAAGTCCAGACCTGCACCACTTTATGGGAAGAAAGGAAAGCATCCCATAATCATCCTGAAAATAGACTGAATACACTTGTAGAGAATAGGAACAGTATAGACCAACTTTCACTGTCATTGCCTCTCTAACATTTTGTTAGATTATGGCAGTTCTTTATGGTTTTAAACGACCTCCTCTTCGACCATGCCATCGGCTACCCCCCTTCCCCTCTCTTCCCTTCTCCCCGCCGACCCCTGCTCGGGTCTGAAATACTGTACTCTGTCGAACGCCTTGGGACGTCCTCCCAATGTGAAAGACGCTAAACAAATGTAATCTTGTTGTTGTAAACCCATTTTTCCTTCTTTACTCCATAATCCTTAACACTGCTACTTACCAAGTATCTAAAGTGCTCTGAGACCTGCCCGACATGAAGGGCGCTATATAGACGCAAGTTGTTGTTATCTATCTAACCTCCCTTTTTAAGACTACTATCGATTCAGCATTTTTAGTTATCTGACTTCCACGTTCTCGTAACCCTGAAATATTTTTCGGTTTCAATCCTTTAAAGGATTTTGAGACGTCTCGATGATGTGATAAGGCGCTATGTGATCAGGCGCCTCAATGAGATACAGCCACATGAAAAGGGTGCTAAATAAATGCAAGTTGTTGTTTCATATCAAGCATAAAGATTAGTAATATTACAATTCATTCCCTTTTTTCCAGCTCGTCCCTGTGTGGTGAGTGAGTGGAGTCACTGGAGTGGCTGTGCTGAGCAATGCCAGCCAAATGTGCGTGTCCGGAGGCGTTACATTGAGCAGGAGCCTCAGAACCACGGAGATCCTTGTCCAGCTCTGGAGGAACGAGCAGGCTGTCTGGAGTACATGAATTATCAGGGCATCCACTGTGGACTCTCTCATGGTACACATCCCTTTGTTTATCCTCATAATCTACCTCTCAATAAGTTGTAGGATTTTCACAATGATGCATAAAAATTGCTTTTAGTAAGAAACTTCTTATTTCAAGAGTTATTTAATGAGAGGATTGTATCTTTTGTGCTCATTAAAGTGAAATATGTCAGCACTCAGAGCAACAGGTAGAGAAGAGGAGATTAGGAAGGGTAGAGTATAAATACGGACCAGTTGGGCTGATGGCCTATTTCCGAGCAGTAATATTCTATTTAATTATATGTAATTTGTATAGTGCCCTTTACATAGGGTAACATCTCAGAGTGCTTTATTGAGTCTTAAACTGGGGTGTATGCCGAGCAAGGGAGGAAGGGCAGGGAGTGGCGGAAGGTGACCAAGGGGGCTAGCCGAAGAGCTAGGTTTTTTAGGCTTCACTGATGTCACTATTGAGAGCATGGAGGGGGGGTTGCCTCCAGCACATCCAGGTAAATGTGATGTGGCGAACATCAGCTTTGGTGCTGAATTGCCCCCAATGTGTTTTAACCTAATTTCAGAAAGCATCCCTGCTTGACTTTCCCAATTTCTCAGACCAGCTGTCTTTTTTGGCTGTTTAAGTGACGTTACCCAACTTGGCAAAAGGAATCCGATGTTTTCAGGGGAAGGTTGGTAAGACAATTAGTGGAAAGATCTTGGCAATAGCACGCTGACAGAGTCCCATTTAGATAAACAGCGATAGGATGCTCAACAGCGCCTTGGACTGGATAAAACCTTTAGTTTTAGCTGCTTAAATCAAACACTTGCGTGCACAGATAATAGGAAAATGTGAGATCTCACATTAAGGATGCATCATGTTCCCCCTCCCCCCAGGAGAAATGGTGTACTCCTCACAAATGATAAAAAGAAGTTTTCAATAGGAAGAAATGGATATTTCTGCCTATTGGCTTCCAGAGCCTGTCAGACTCCCAGTTCACCCACCCCAAAACCTCCACAAATCTCACATTTAGTATTGTATGTTAACCTGGATCCCCAAATTCTAGGGAGAGAGTCCACATTTAATTTCAGACACAGAGAAATTTCCACATGTTATGGCAAAAATATGTGAAACTCTCAATCTGGTTCGGATACTATTAAGCCAGATACTCTTAAGCATGGTGATGATTTTCTGCCTGTGTCAGATACCAAGCTGATCAGAAAACAAAAAATCTTTTAAGTTTTTTGTTGTTATTCTTGAATTAAATTGGGCAATTGGGATTTTGTTTATTCAGCTTTTAAATACACCTTTTGGTTTTCTTTTTATTATTCCAGTTCCAGCTTTCATAAGTACAGCGGAATACAACAAGGAGAGAAGAAAGCGTGCTTTAGTTGAAGAGTCAGAGATTTCAGAGTGAGTAGCATCCTTCATTACAATCCCATGTTAACACCCTTAAGGGAATTGGCAACATTAGAAGCAAAAGTAAAACACTAAAGGTGCTGATTCTCAGATCACCTGCTGAATAAAGAAGTTAATTAAGGTAGGAACCTATAATGTGAAACAAGTTTCCTAACACAGACCCAGTCCACACAGACCTTTTAGATTTTAATTGTGTTTTTTTATACAATGTATTAGTCGTTGCTCACATTGAACTCAGCATGAGTTAGGGAGAGGGAAGTCAGCCTGTTTGATATGCGGAAATCCAGGCCGGGCGAAACCTTGGGCAAGTTTCCTTACTCCACACTCCTAATAATAATCCCTCCAAAAAACAATAATAAATTGGTCATTTTCAATCCACGACTGTTTGTGTGACATTGCTGTGCGCAATTGGCTGCTGCGTTCGCCCACAAATATACAATCAATTCACTTTATAGTATATTGTGTGAAGCGCTTTGGGACGTCCTCCCGACATGAAAAGCGCTATATCAAATGCAAGGATTATTATTATTATCCTTGCTGAAATGTGTGTGTGTGGGTGTCGACATCAGGTGAGGACAAGATTGAGCTCAGTTAGGAATGCCTCCTGGTGGTGAAACAACCTGCCTTTGTTAAATCCAGATTTCGATGTGCGATTGCTCTTAAAGACCTGAAAAACTCAACACGGAGTCAGTGCGGTATACATCCAAAAAGCTTTATTTCATATATATATGAGGTGCAGAGCGGTAGCAACAACTCTCCCAAGGTACTGCTCCCCACACTGCACACCAGATAAAAACAACATCTGACTTTTATACATGTTCCATTTTCCCATAATTGGATGTCTGTTTCTTTCATAAAAAGAGATATGGGTCCCGGGTTCCTTAGCACAATAACATATACATTGATAGTTGCAAACCAAAACAAAGCTGAGCTTACACCAAATGCGAAAACATGTTTTGCCTCATTGCCTTTGCTTATTCTGTAACTTTTGCGATTGCCCAAAGATGTTACATTCCCACACTTTCCACACTCCTCCCTTTTATCCCTGGGATAACTCACCAAAACTCAGTAACAGGGCACCAGGGAGGCTCCCTAGGATGAACTATCGATTTCCAAGAAGGAATCCGGGAAAGTAGCATGAAAACTTTCCATCTCATAACTTAGCTCATCACATGAGGGGGTGGGAGTGAGGTGGTAGTTAACTCGGACTGAATGCATAGCCATCATTGATTTCGCAGTCTTTCGACAACACTGGGTGCAACATATGAGAACACACTTTACAAAAACAAAGACTAACAAAATAACTAAACTTATTTCTAACAAAATTCTGACTATACTTCCTAACCAACCCACTCCCATATTCTGCAACCAATTACTCAGCCAATCCAATAGTCCTCCGCCCGAATGAATAATGATATTACCCGCATCCTGCCCCGTTTGGTTAATCTCTTTGGTGATATTTGAAATTTTCCCAGAAAAATCATCTATCGTTATACAACATTCAGGGCCAATAACCTTACACACTCCTCCCGTCGCAGCCAAGACATAGTCAAGGGCCATGCGGTTCTGTAGTGTGTAAAGGCGAATCTCGGACATTTCCTTTCCAATAAGGGCCAACGCTGCGGATGTTTCGGCGGCCAAGGAAGAGACAGCCTGAGACAGGATAGCAATCTGATCAAGGGTACACATCACCCCATAAAAGGGAAGAAGGGCCCCAAGAAAGCGATTCCACTGGGTCTGGGCATGCGTATGAAAGGGATCAGCCCTGCGAGAGCGATGGACATGGCGGAGGAACAGACGGATTGGAAACGTTCAACACCTGTGGGCCTGGGGCAGATGGCAGGGTTTCAGTCAAACGGATCATGGGAAAATAATGAGAAAGGGCACATCTTCCTTTAAAATTTGCCGGAAGGTAAGCATAAACAGTAGAATTGCAAACCCAATAAAAATTCTTATGAATCGGGGATAGGGCGCAACCCTGAGTAATTGAATAAGTCAGCATCCGGTGAACCCGTAAAGGTAGAGCAACCCGACAATCCCAGAAACTGGATGATGGAACATCCTCTGCCGCGTAAGGGTAGATGGTATTACAGAAATGAGAATCCAAAAACCCAAGTGACTCAGTCCCAGTAAGAGATTCAACGCAGAATGCGAATCCTGTATAGACTGTAGTGGCCGCACCAATTTTAGGGGGCTTTCCGCAGTCACAATTACACATTCGCGGTCTCCAGGGCTGGTGACCACACTGCAATTCTTGCAACTGAGGATTTAAAGGAGGGCAGACAGCATCAGCATCAGGCGCTGACAGCATCAGCATCCAAGGCTGCACTCTCCACCTCGCAAAGCCAGTCAGGAACCTCGGCGTTTTGTTCGACCCTGAGCTGTCCTTTCTCCCTCACATCCGCACCACAACTGGCACCGCCTTCCATCACCTCCGGAACATCGCCAGACTACAGCACTACCTCACCCCTCACGCTGCTGAAACTCTGGTCCACGCCTTTGTCACCTCAAGGCTGGACTATGGGAACTCTCTCCTCGCCGGCCTTCCCGCCACCTCCCTCCACAAGCTGCAGGTCATTCAGAACTCTGCAGCTCGTGTACTGTCCCGCACCAGGCTTCGGGAACACATCACTCCCACCCTCGCTCGCCTCCACTGGCTCCCCATCCCCCAGAGGATTGATTTCAAGATCCTCATCCTCACCTACAAGGCCATTCACGGCCTTGCTCCCTCCTACCTCTCCGACCTACTATCCCCCTACCTACCTGCCCGTACCCTCCGTTCCTCTGGCTCCGGTCTGCTCCACGTCCCCCGCCCCAACCGCCCTACCATCGGTGGTCGGGCCTTCAGCCTCTCAGCCCCGAGGCTCTGGAACTCCATCCCCCAGTGCCTTCGCCTTGCTTCCTCCCTTTCCTCCTTCAAGGCCGGTCTCAAAACCTTTCTCTTTGACCGAGCCTTCAGCTCCCCTCTCGACTCTCTTCCCCCTCCTCGCTCCCTCCCTTCCCTCCCCTTACCCTGACCATTTCCCCCCTCCTCGCTCCCTCCCTTCCCTCCCCTCACCCTGACCATTTCCCCCCTGCTCGGGTCATGACCCAACTGTGCAGCGCCTTGGGACGTCCTCCTGACGTGAAAGGCGCTTTATAAATGGAATCTTGTTGTTGTTGTTGTTGTTGAGGGCAAGTAATAGTTTGCGTTATTTGTAGGTAGAAAAGTGAACAAATTTCACATTCCGACAACGGGAACGCCATCATGAACAGACTTTGTGTGACTATGAAGTGGCTTATTCTGTGTTTGTTTTTGTTTTCAATTTTAAGCCATGTTTGTTGTTTTGCTTCGAAAGTAGGTGATCACCAGCTCTTGCTGTCTTTTCACCGAGACCATGTCATACTGTACAATGCGAGTGAGCCTGTGCGCTGTTCTTCTGCCATATGTTACACTAATTTACCTCTAGAGGAGCGAACTTTCTCCTCCCATTTTGTGTTGCATCCTTTTCTGGCCTATATGTCTTCCGCCTCTATACGCACTCTCAATTGTTCCCGGAGTTCTATTCGCTGCACCCTTACCAGTAATCTCATGATAATGTGTTATTGTACTGGTTTATATGCATGTAAGTTTAATAAGTCTTGTTCATTTTGGAATATGCTTTCGCGATTCCCCAAAGCTTCCCAATTTGTGTATTCACTGACCGTCAAGGTTCACACATGAATAATGGCCACCTGGTTGAGGGACTGGAGGGTCATCATCTCTTTGCTGTGGTCCACACTTCCACCCAGCAGCCCGTGAGATGCCAGGACTCAGTGTGTTAGGAGAACCCTTACGTTGAGAGGGGGAAACTCTGCTCATCAACAAGTATATTGACTTTGACAGTGAGCACATGCTATTCTTCACCTTCGATAAATTCACCAAATATTTCTATGAGCTGAGGGATCTTTTGCTTTCATTTTTATTTGTGCTCCTCAAATGGTTTGCTTTAGTCTCTTCTCCATCCAAGCCCCCCCCCCCCCCCCACCCCACCAACATAATTTTTAGCTTGTTTCACTGTTCATTGTTTCAAATATTATATTAATACTTTCAGAAGTAATTCTAAAATCCTAATTTCAGTGCTTGAAATTCTTCCATTATTTAAAGTAAAGTATCGCAAATGTACATTAAAAATAGTGGAGTTTGAACCAGATTAAAAATGATCAAAGAAAATAAACTGGAACATGAATTAATTTCTGACGTGAACTGCTAACTATTTTGACGCTGAGTTAAAATTTGCATCTTTTCGTATTCTTGTTATTAACCAGGTACTGCACGGAGTTTAAGCTGGAGTCGCTGTCTTTCCATTGCACTGTAGAAAACCGCCCTTTTGCTAGGTGGATGCAATACCTACGAGAAGGTTACACTGTGTGTGTCGCTTGCCAACCACCGGCTATGAATACAGGGAGCCACCGTTGTATTGGCGATGGTGCAGAAGATTATGGGTAATTAAGTTTCGATAGACACGCACGTCATATGTACACAAAAACGAGATTATATCGATGTCCCCATTCTCTTCCTCCTCTCGAGCTGCTTCGCCAATTTTCTCTCTTCCTCTTGTGAAGGCATTCAACCCGTTTCCTTCCGTAGTGGTACAATTCCTGCTGCTTTCTTACCCACGTAGGCATCGTTCTGCTCCGAGCAATTTGCTGCAATTTGTTCCTTTGTATTCCATTTCATAGTCTAACACAGCACTGCCAAAGTATTTAATGGAAAATGTTACTAATAATTAACATTTGGCACACATTATTCCCAATTTAGGATGAATTGTACCATCATTATATGGTTTATGGGACGTGTTTATCAAGTTGAATGCATACTTTCTGCTCATTAACATTTGTCGGGATCCAGTTGCACTGACCCAATTTAGATTTGTTGCACCTTTGTTTAGTCAGCATCGTCTCAGCAGTATTCTTTTTGTTTATGAAGTGAAACTAGTGATGTTACAGAATGCATTCAATGTGATAATTATGAAATGTCACACATTTACCTTCCATCTTTACCTCAGTTAGATCACCCCACAACTAACATGTAACCCAATTCTGTTCATACCTTTATCTGCGAGGTGCACATCTTTGTTTGTATCTCTATCTGAAGGACTGGACTTGTTAAGAGTTTTTCTCTCTGGAGAAGATGCTTGAGAAGGAACCTGATAAAGATGCTTCAAATTTTGAAAGGATTCGATTTAGTGGACAATAATAGGCTGTTTTCATCTGTTGGTGAGTCCAACACAAGCGGGAATAAATAAGTCAGTAGCAGATAAAAAGAAAGTTCAGGTGAGAGTGTGTTGGAAGTTGTGATTGAAACAGAAAGCATCAACATATTTAAGAGGAAACTTGATGCATTCATGAGGGAGAAGTGAAATAGAGGGATCAAGGAGGCGATTAGGAAGGTATGAAGCTCATGTAGATTGTAACCACCAGTGCAGACTAGTTGGGACAAATCATTTAACTGCTCTGTAAGTTTCTATTTGTCTGTAATTCTATGCGATTGCACCTCAAACTGCATTGCATTTGCAAATGTAGGAGTGAAATTTGTGATGTTTCTTAATGCGTTCCTGATGAGTTATCTCAAGGAATGTGTTATGCAATGCCACAAATTTCACCCCACTCATCTTTCTAAATGGTGTGATAAGATTTTTGGTCATTATAGTTACTCTCTGACGTTTTTGTTTTCCACGGTGACAGGACGGATACTTTCCAGTGGCAAGCAGTGGGCAATAACCGATGTAGAGGAACATGGAAAAAAGTCCGTCAAGTGCCACAGTGTTCCTGTCCTGTTGTCCACAGCTTTGTGTTTACTTGAGAAATGAGTCTTCGCTTCTGAAACTTTCTACAATAAGTTATAAACAATGTTGTTGTGTAACCCTAAGTTGAAATTTATATCAAACAAACACCACTCGTTTTATTTCCAAGTCTTAAAGGGATCACCCCTTGAACACTTTACTGTAAGACAACACTGAGTCATTCTGAATGTGAATGAAAACGTTTGAAAAGACCAATTCAGATACATAATAAAACAGCATGGGACTGAAGACAGAATTCATGATTTCCTGTGGGTTTTATTAAGCATGCTGGGGTGCTAAGTTAGTTTGTTATTTTAAAATACTTATTGCTTCTTTGCATAGCTATTATTTTAAGTGCGTAAATTTCAAATGTTTTCTCCATGTCTAAGTTGCTGTCCTCTTTTCCTTGGTTTAGATGTTTTCAAAATTTTAAAAGGGTCCTGGATGCCACAATGCATTTAAATATTGCCCTCTTGGCATCCAGGTTCAAGACCAGCTCACACAGCTGGAGTGAACATGTGCTGTTCCTTATGATTCCTTAAGGTTTCAAAGTGAACAAGTTCAAATAGCCGCAATCTAACTCTAACTCACAGTAAACACATGAAGATCATACATTCGTCACCCAAGCAGCACTGACTGGACAGTCTTGCTTAGTCAGTCCATAAAACTTCCAACAGTTAACTGCACTGGTAGCTCTATTTACTGATGCTGATTACTCTGCTGAATTTACTATCTTTACCAGTGTGCGCTTACAGTGGGATTTCCCTATCTGTGATGGTGATGTTGGTGGTACATTGGGCCGGCCATCTCTCACTTAGCACATTCTCCAGATGATGTAGAGGAAGCTCTGCATCTATGAGGAAATGTACTTTGGTTGATCTTGGAATCTAGGATTCCATCAACTGGGCTTAAGGAGGAAAGAACTTAGGCAAGGACACCAAGACAAACTGGGTTTAACATTTTTTCTGATAGACAGCAACTCTGACAATGTATCAGCCAAGACTGTATACTCAAGCTCCAATGTAGAGCTCAAATCCATAATTTTCTGATCCAAAGGCAAGAACGCTACCAATTGGGGCAAAATGACACCTTTAGAAATGTTCCGGTCCCTAACCCAGTCATCAAACACATTGAGCAGCAATGAAAAACAGACACTAACAATTTGCATTTATATTGTGTCTCTCACATTGAGAGGGCATTTCAAAGCACTTCACACAGCTGACTGGGACCTTGAGCTGGACATTTGTAATGTTCCCATTATACAGTAACAATTGTGCAGTATATTAATGAGAAAATGTCATTTGAAATAATATTTTGTACATAAGCTTTTGATAAATTTACTTTTTTTCTTTGAAAAATGCAATATCTCATAATTGAGGGAAAGGTGAAGAACAGAGAATCCATAGGTTAAACAAAACTGTTGGGAGCATTTATTTGATGGTTCCCCTGTATAAATGTTTGTATATTAATTTGTGCTACATTGAGCAGTAATAATAAAGGCGATTACAATATTTTGAGTATGTTTGTAATACAGTAATTGTAACAGTTTACAAGAGTTTACAATGGAAGGTAATTGTGCTTGACCAAGCAGATTTTAGTACAGTCCAGTCAAGAATTTGTAAATGACCATAGAAAAACATGACAAAGGGAAGAGGTTGAGCCCTCCTGCTTATTATCTATTCTGGGGTGGGTCACTTTCCACTAGAATATAAGAGCAATAAGTGTCTATTGCAATTGTATAGAGCACTAGTCAGACCTCATTTAAAAAATTTCGGTTCAGTTTTGGGTGCTCCACTTGAGGAAGGAGATATCCAGTGATGATTCACTAAAATATGCTTGAGACTTCAAACTGAACGTTAAAACAGAGGGTAAGTAAATTGGGATTATATTTATAGAAGTTCAGAATGCTGAGAGTGACCTGGTGGAGGCTATTGACAAGGTATAGAGGCACCCACACTAAAATTAGCGAAACAACAACTTGAACCTATGTTTCACATAGGGTGAACATCTCAAAGATCTTAACACTTTGAGTACCAATCAGAAAGGAAGATTTAAGGATGTTGATAAAAAAATTTTTTTGAATAGGGTGTTGAAGGCAGGGTCAGAGGAAGCAAGGCTAAGAGATATTGGAACGGAATTATTGAGGACAGGAACTTGGTGGGATAGGACTGAGGAGCAAGCCAAATAGGAAGAGACGATGATACGGGCAGAAAAGGGCTAACATAGATTGAAAAAGTCAAGAGGCTAGACTGTGGAGGGAAGTCAGGTCGAAAAACGTTAAAGTTGATTTGCTGGTATATTTGGGAGTCAGTGGAGCTTGGCAAGTAGACAAGTAATGGATATGTGAGGCTTAGTGTGAGAGATAATGCAGTTTGCAAAGTTTGGGATAAATTAGAGCTCATGCAGTGTGGAGTTACAGGCCCAGTGAGGAGAACATTGGAAACATTTATGCTCGAGGTGATGAAGACATGAATGAGGGTTTCAGAAACAGTGAAGGTGGATAGAAAAGGGACAGTTTCGGCAATGTGTGATTGGGCGTGGTTGAAGCACCATTCAGTATCAAGCAGATCATTCACTTGGCTGAGCAGCCAGTGAGCAGCCAGGATGGTTGTCGGGAATTGGAGCCAGAGGCAATAAAAGTGCTGGCGAGAACTGAATAAGAAATCCTCATCCTTGTTGACATTAAGCTAAAGACTAAGGCTCATTGCAAAAGGCAAAATACTGCAGATGCTGGAAATTTGAAAAAAAAACAGACTTTCAAGAGATCAAATCTGCAATGAACCTTGAAATAAAAACAGAAGTCGCTGGGAACCCTCTGCGGGTCAGGCAGGTTCTGATGAAAGATCACCGACCTGAAATGTTAACTCACTTTCCTCTCTCCATAGATGCTGCCTGCTGAGTGTTCCCAGTGACTTCTGTTTTTATTTCAAGGTTCATTGCAGATTTGATCTCTTGAAAGTCGATTCATCGGAACAGCAACAGACCTGAAATCAAAAATGGAAGCAAACAGGTGGAGCTGTGTATCAGCAGCATACATCCAGAACAAGAGAGTCTTACCTTAAAATCTCTACAAGAGGCAAGTGAGGAAGTGAGCATGGATTGGCTCTGGTAACCCTTGACAGAAGTGCTTAAAATAACAGGCTTGGAAAACTTGCAGTTAAGTTTTCTATCAATATACAAAATAAAAGAATGCAAAGGAGGGGGGGGGGAGAGAGACCTCAAATAAGGCCAACAAAACAGCAAATAAGAAGTGGCACTGATTTCTTTTATTTAAAGGGTGTCTGTTGTGTTGGACAAACTATCAGCAAAGGTGATAAATAAACCAAGGAACTAAGCAGCTTAAAAGGATTTGAGGTTGTTAGACGCATCAAAGAAATATTTTGGAATAGACTAGATGGACTTCTACTCTTGCCTGTAATGGTTATTACAGAATAGTAAGTTCTGAACCATTAAGCGAATGACACTTGATACTACTAAGCATAGTAGACAAAAGTTCAAGAAAGGGCCTTTTATTTAGAGGAATCTGAACTTGGAATTTTTTTTTGACAAATCTCCCCAGATTGTTAAGATAGCTTTACTGTACCATATCCAATTGCATTCAACTCATTGGTTGCCTGAATCCAAAAAGCCAGTTTGTGCTCTCTTGAAAAAANTTCAAAACAATTTGAAAATGTATGGTTCGCGGAGTACAGCATGTTGATGTATCAACACAGATCAGACACAAATGCTGCATTAATTTGGAACTGACATTTTTTTAATTCATGTTTATACAAACAAATTGAAACAAACATTTCAATCATTTGATTTTAAAAAAATCATTTCCCCCAAATTAATTCTTCGGTCCTGGCAACGTCCAGTAAGAGATATGTAACAGTGGCCTTCAGTTATCTGTCAACATTTTTCCCCTTCCTATTAGGGTTGGGTAAATTCCATTCGACAGCCTCCAATGACAGACAAGCTAAGAATGTGTGGTGAACTGCAGCATATTACACTGAATACACCATGTCAGCTATCTTAATGATTGAATGAAAATACTTTATTAGAGTGTGGGATACAAAATACGATGTAGGATATGCATAGTGTAAAGAATTAAGAATGTGAAGCGAGAAGTTTGCATACATCTGAACTACAGTAGTTGATCTTTCAGACATTTGCATGACTTGCATGATTTGCATGACTATATTTTATATTTTAAAAAAAAATTCTGCTCCACAACTTCTTATTTTTACTTCTGCTATGTTTGCTGTTTATAACTAGTCAGAAAAGCAGCTAAACTACAGACTCTCCTGGCACTGTTTTACGGTGAGCTAAAAGAGTCAACTTCTATGATGTAGAACTGTGCTACTGTACTGTTCATTCCTGGCCTTAGCACAATACTGACACACCCAGAACTGACAAAAGTCACTCAACTTTATTGAAACTTGTTTCAAAGCTTGATTTAAACTCCATCTGCTTGTGTATTCAATATTTTGCTACAAACAATTTTCATATCCCAACATTGTAATGCTGACACGGACTATCTTCTAATTGGATGCTGTTTCTAATATATTCTTTTATACAACTTTACCAGCTTGCTGTTGTCTTTTTAAGTACCCTAGTTAAAAACCTCTCTCTATAAATGTCACCATCATAATCTGAACTTGGATGTTTTTTCTGTCCAGTCATTAGGATTCCATGGTACAAATATAAAAGATGACATGAGCTCGCCAATAGGGATTTAACTTCAATACCCAACGGTGGAGCACCGAGAATTTTCAACAGACACAAACTCATGCGCAAATATTTGTTAGAGTTGGCACTTTCTATTCTCTTATACATAAAGCGTACAAATTCGAGATCAGATATAAAAAATACAAATTCTCATTCTGGACTGAACATTGCACTTAAGTACCAGGTCAATAAAATGCTGCCATTTCATACTTGTAACGTCTCTCATCGGCAGGACCTACAAGGGCAGACCAATCACTGGAGGCAGGAAGTCATCCCAGTCATCCTGTTAACCTTGAAAGCCAAAGCTATGGGTAGGATGGTCCTAGCTGGACAAGCAGCGGGATAGCTTGCCAGACAGCAATATCAATGGCAAGCTATGCGGTTTTACCTGGTTAAGACTCCAGCGATACCCCAACACACACTCTAGGGTTCCCAAGCCTTGGCTCTTGCCAACCTGCGCCTAATGCTTTCTGAAATTAGCTAAGCAGGATGCGTCCTCCCAGGGAGAAAGTGCATATTCCATTCCAACAATCTATCTTTGGGATTTCCATGTGTAGGTGGGATGCATGAAAATCTCAGCTTGGTTTGGATACTTTTAAGCGCAGTGATGGGTTTCCGCATGTGTCAGACACCAGGCTGACCAAAAAACACAAACAAAACGTGTGCCTACAGCACAATAGCTCAATGTTTTGTCCTTTACAATCTTTTCTTTTCACAAAATACATACATGTTCAACAAAAAAGGCAAACAAGTAGATAAACTTGGAAAGGCAATAGAAAGTGTGCAACTTGAGAAACTTTCCTGATCTAGTTTACGTGTCGGTTATGCGTCACCAAGTCCCGTTCAAAGCTTAAATCAATAAAAGATATAAGTATGGGATTGGCCTAGCAGTCAAATAGACAACATTGCACATGAACAAAAAAAAAACTCATTCATCTGTAGATTTAAAATGGTTCTCTTAAAAAAGTGTGAACCTTTATAATTGATGCTTCTCAGTTCTCATCGGAGCTGTCAGCAATGCCCAGCTTCTTCATGGTTCTCCATCTGTCCTTCAGCATTATATTGGTACGATTGTCAAAATCGTAATACTGTAGAATCGTGGTCCAGTTCCCACATCCAAATCTTCTTACTCCTTTCTTCAGCTGCTGGTCTTCTTTCGATAACCAGTGCTTGGAAAATATACGTTAAACAAGGTCAAAAGTTATGAGGGTTTTGCAGCTTATAATAAACCGCTCAGTCTCAAATAATTCTCGATCAGTCTCCAAAAGCAAAGCCAATTGTCATTTGGAAATTTCAAGTGAATAAATAATGTATCAAAAGATTTTGGAAACGTAAGAACATAAGAAATGCTAGTCAAAAAAAAGACTAAAGTCCATCTAGTTCGCCTTCCACCTTCCTGGCAGTCGCATGCACATACGTCCCAAACTACCTATGTACTATATCCCACAATGTTATTTCCTAAAAGAAATCTATTTAATCTGTGTTTGAAGGAATCAACACTTCCTGCTTCAACTGTCTCCCTAGGAAGCCTGGTCCACAGATTTACTATTCGCTCACTAAAATAGTGTTTGCGTAGATTCGTTCTGACTTTACCCCCCCCCCCCCAACCAATCGCAGACTGTGTCCTCTGGTTTTATTATTCTGGACTAGTTGAAACAGCCTGTCATTATCTTGGTGACATCATCTGCAGATATGGGGTCAACTTCCACATGTACGTGGATGACACCCAACTCTATTTCTCTGCCTCCATCATCGACTCCAGGACCACTGCTGTCCTGACAGAATGTCTGTCAGACATCAAGTCCTGGATGAAAGCCAACTTTCTACAGTGAACGTTAGCGAAACCAAGGCTCTCCTGATTGGCTCGCGCCAGCGCCTCTGCACCTCAAACACTGGCAGCATTGGTATCCACGGATGCACACTCCACCTTACTGAGCCAGTCAGGAGCCCAGGCATGTTGTTTGACCCTCAACTGTCCTTTCTACTCCACATCTATGCCATGATCCGCTCTGCCTTACCCCACCTCTGCATCATTGCCCAACTCCGCCACTGCCTCTCAGGCTGCCAAAACCCTTAAACATGCTTTCATTACATCCAGCCTCGACTATACCAATGCCCTGCTTGTCGGCCTTCCCAATTCTTCCCTGCACAAGCTGCAGATCATCCAGAACTGTGCAGCTCATGTCCTCTCCCGCACCAGGCTCCATGACCCCATCACACCCACCCTCCCCCGGTTCCACTGGCTCTCCATCCCTCAGAGGATCAAGTTCAAAGTCCCGTCCTCACCTTCAAGGCCCTCCATGGCCTTTCCTCCTCCTACTGCTCCGACCTAATAAGGGTATCAACCTGTCTGTTCCCTCCAGAGCAGGATCCTGCCTGCTCCATGTCCTCCGCCCGGCCCACCATTGGTGGTCGGGCCTTCAGCTTCTCTACACCCACCCTCTGGAACTCCATCCCATATTCCATTCATCTCGCTCCCTCCCTCGCCTCCTTCAAGGCACGCCTCAATACCCTCCTCTTTGACTGTGCCTTCGGCCACCCTCCTACCCTCTCTGCCCTCCACCCTCCCTGATTCTCCACCCCCTCCCATCCTGCTGGGGTCCAAATCCCTGTCTGTTCAGAACCTTGGGATGTCCTCTCAACGTGAAAGGCGCTTTATAAATGTCATTTTGTATTATCTTGCATTTCTACACTGTCTAGCCCCTTTAGAATCTTAAAAGTCAGCAATCATATTGCTTCTCCTGTAGCTCAGTGGTTAGAGCTCTCGCCTCGCAAGCGAGAGACCTGGGTTCGACTCCGGGCAGGGCGAAATGTTGGGTCAAGTTTCCTTACTCCACACGCCTCTGTTTCCTAGCAGTAAGTAGGAACCCAGTTGTAGTCAATTGGCGAATTGCTTTTCTGGGGATAATGCTTCCAAAAAAAACCCAATAATAATTTGGTCATTCAATCCACAACTTTTTGTGAGACACTGCTGTACACAACTGGCTACTGCGTTATGCCCACAAATATACAGTCAATTCACTTTACAGTGTATTCTGTGAAGCGCTTTGAGACATCTACAACAACAACTTGCACTTATATAGCGCCCTCCATGCAGGGTAGCGTCTCAGAGCGCTTAACAGTGGCAGAGCCTGACTCCAAGCCGGGGGGAGGGGTGAGGTGGCCATAGGCATGATCAAAGGTTTTCAGGCGGGACTTGAAAAAGGGGAGAGGGGGCAAGACGGAGGGATTGAGGGAGAGTGTTTCAGTTTCGAGGCGTAGTGGCTGAAAGTGTGACCTCTGATGTTGGGGCGAAGGGTGCGAGGGATGAGCAGGAGGCTGGTGCCAGTTGAGCGGAGGCGCCGGTGCTGGATAATAATAATCCTTGGATTTGATATAGCGTTCTCACATCTTCAAGACGTCTCAAAGCGCTTCACAGAATATACTGTAAAGTGAATTGACTGTATATTTGTGGGCGAAACGCGGCAGCTAATTGCGCACAGCAGTGTCCCACAAACAGTCGTGGATTGGTGAACAAATTTTTTTTTTTTCTTGAGGGATTATTATCAGGCGTGTGGAATAAGGAAACTTGCCCAAGGTTTTGCCCTGCTGGGAATCGAACCCAGGTATCTCGCTTGGCAGGCGAGTGCTCTAACCACTGAGCTACAGGACTGACAAGTTGGGGAGTGGGGAGTGTCTTCAGAGAGGTAGGGAGGTACCAGAAACTGAAGAGATTTTAACACGAGTGTGAGGATCTTGAAGTCGATCCGTTCAGTGATGAGGAGCCAGTGGACCTGGCCAGAACTGGTGAGATGTGGGTACGGAGTTTGGTCCGGGTCAGTATGCGAGCGGCAGAGTTCTGAATGAGCTGAATCTTTTGAATACTGGAGCTGGAGAGTCTGGCGAGGAGTGCGTTTGAGTAATCCAAGCGGGAGGTGACAACCGTATGCTTGAGGGTTTTGACTGCATTTGGGGTAAAGTATGGTAGGAGACGGGCAATGCGGTGGAAGAAGGTGGTCCTGGTCAGGGGAGGAAGGACAACTGGATGCTTACATTGCGCAAAACATTTGCCAAGATGAAATGGAGATGGTTGGCTAAGTAGGACTCGAACCATGCAAGTGCGGTCCCACTAAGGTAGATGAAAGGAGAGGAGGTGGAAGAGGATGGCGTGGTCGACTGTGTCGAACGTGGCAGAGAGATCCAGGAGAACGAGGAGGCAGAGGGAGCCCTGGTCAGATAGAGAGAATGTTGTTTGTGACTTGGACTGGACGAGCGCTATGTCTGTGTTGTGAGCAGAGCAGAAACCAGACCGCAGGGGCTCGAGGAGAGAGTGGAGGGAGAGGTGTGTCCGAAGTTGACCTGTAACAATGTGTTCCAAAACTTTGGCAAGGAAGGGTAGGTTGGAGATGGGATGGAAGTGTGAGAGATTAGAGAGATCGAGGGTGGGGTTTTTGAGTCGGGGTGTGATAACAGCAGTTTTCTGGGGAGTGGGACAGAGTCTGAGGAGAGAGATTGGTTGACAGTGTCGGCCAGCAGGTAGAAGAGGAGAGGGTTCCTACGTGCTGCTCGTTAAACAAAAGCATGTGGACTAAGAAAACTTGCCCGACGTTTCACCCTGCCAGAAATCAAACCCAGGTCTCTCGCTTGTGAGTGCTCTAATCATTGAGCTACAGGACTCCACTTGTTAACATTTTCTCTTGGTTAACCTCCCTCTTCCCTCAGGATTGTTAAATCATCGGGTGTAAATTGGAAGTAGGAGGAAGTGGCTGTATTTATTGATGAAAATGAAAGCATTCTGAGTTTGCAATTGCAAAGTTCAGATATCACTTATTTTGGCTCACTTACATTTCGCTTTCTCATTCATCACTCCACTAACTAAAGTAGCATCAGTTACCAACAGAAATGTGATACTCTGACAGTAATTCACGGTATCTATTATCTGTAACAGAACAGTTCAACACTACAGGACAACCATCTCACTGTGGGGACTTAGACCGATTATCACAGGTTTCATACAAAAATTCTGTCACAATATAAAAAAATGCTTTTGATTCTTAGCCACCACTATGAACTAAGAAGTATTCAATACTGAAAATACCACTGTGACACTATGAATAAACAAATCATACCTTTACGATTCACAAACAATACAAAAGGGGGCAATCTACACCACATAGAAATCAGCTGAGTTAACAATGAGCAAGTCTGTCATGCAACAAAACAGAATTCTTCTTTTGAATTAGCCACACTTGGATAACTTGTAGGAAAACAACTTTCAAAATGTTCCACTGAAACCCTTCTGTGAAAGCCAATAGCTGCCATGAAACCAGAGGAGCAGAGATTCAGTGTTCCTCGTAATTTACACACTGGTAAGAAGCCAGGTCAATAACGCATAAAAAAAGCATAAGAATTAATAATTCTATAAAATGTTTTGACTGGTGAATCATCGGAGATTGAAACCAGCCGAAACTTTCCAATGGCACCACAGCACTTAGTAATTCACATTGGGAGGATATCTCAAAGCACTTCACAGGATATGCTTTAAAATTAATGGCTATCTTCCAGACAAACTAACATTTGCTATCAAGGATCTCAAATTAATTAATAGTCACTTGAATGAGGTGCTGGACAGCACCCATGCCTCCAGACTCCAACGGAACTAAAATGAGCCAGAAACGTTTCAGGAGAGAAGTGAAATGTATTTTTGTTCAATAAGGCGAAAGAGCATGAAATAAATACAAACCCTTCTTCTGGTTTTCTTCTTTGGGTAATCTGAAATAATGGATTCATCTTGTTTCTCAATCTTTATCAGACGTTCAGAACTTCTCTTATCTATAAAACAGAGAGAGAGAGCCCATATTGGGAAAGAAAGCTGCTGAAATCTCCTCAGATAATCGTATTGATTAAGTACCACACCAAATATAGTAGTCCATTGGCCAGCTACTCACTCTAAAATATGGTTGACCTCCAGGCCATCAGATTGTCATAATTGTCATGGCGACCTGATGATCAGGAAGTCGGCCTTTTTTTAAAACTGTACAAGAAATGGCCTGGCTGGTTTTACACATACATTTTGATAAGTAAATTGGATCCCCACTTCAATCGAGCTAAAAGCCAACCTGCAATTGTATCAAAGTGCTTCACAATGCTCTGTACACTTAGCTACACCTCACATTCAGAACTAAGATAGTTGGCATTTATATTTAGCTACATGTCACAGCCTGGCATTTAAATAGTTAATACACCAATAAATTTATCTGCACCTACTTCTGGCTGGTGTTTTTACTCTTGAATCCTTAATCCTTTCAGGTTTCACCAAGGTTGATGTCATGGGCTTCACCAAACTATATAGCCGTTTTTTAGGTCTGTAAGAAAACATATTTAACACTGGATTTCAGCAAGCTTTAATACCCAAAGTACGGTCGACAGAGTTCATTACTTAGTTGACAGAGTTATGGTTTGAACAATAACTTTACATCACTGTGATGCCATAGATGTTGGGTAACACTGTATGAACTGTAACTGTAACAGTGTATTGTGTAGTCCTGTAGCTCAGTGGTTAGAGCACTCGCTTTGCAAGCGAGAGACCTGAGTTCAATTCCAGGCAGAGGGCGAAACCTTGGGCAAGTTTCCTTACTCCACACAGAGCCTAATAATAATCCCTCCAAAACCAAAAAAAAACAATAATGAATTGGTCATTTTCAATTGGTCATTTTCCATTGGGACATTGCTGTGCGCAATTGGCTGCCGCGTTCGCCCACAAATATACAGTCAATTCACTTTACAGTGTGTTCTGTGAAGCGCTTTGGGACGTGCTCCCGACGTGAAAAGCACTATATCAAATGCAAGGATTATTATTATTTTAAATTGAGGAGTAGCGGCCCAAAAAGAACAATTTATCTTCCAAGGCAGCCCAACCATACTCACGGACTTTCCCTAGAACTGCGACAAGTAGCAGTCAACAACAACAGAGGCAGTTGAGTGAATCTGCTTGATTTTGGACATGAAGAAGTACATCACCTTATTGCATTTGGAGTTGGAGCTGAGGATGGAGGGAGCCTGGGAGGATGGGTGAAGGAGGTGGATGGCGTTGAAGAGGAGAAGCTTGGGGTGTTGTCTTTGGGCTCCAAAATCATCCTGGAGTAGAAGGCAAATTTAGCTGAGGCAACAGCGTGACAGGAGACTTTCAAAACGATTATTTTACTTCCTGTCATTCTATGTTGTCTATTCCTACCAAATGAATGGATGTTGGATTCCAACAAGGAGCTGTCTAAATGTGTTGTATGAGTATGTGGGTCTCACATTGAAATGAAGCAGGTTCTGGGATTTCTTTTGTTTGCAGCATTCAAGATGTAACAATATAATCCTTCCATTTGATATAGTGCCTTATCCCGTCATTGAGTTGTCTCAAAGCACTTCACAGGATATACTGCAAAGTTAACGGGAATGTCTAGAGAAATGTCCATTGGTTGAAATGGAGCAAGGATACAATTCACAGACTGTGCTATTTTCCACAGCATTGAAATCCAGGCAATACCTGTTAGCACAGCTGTTTTTTTTCCCCCAGAGAGCCAGGATTAGGTTTGTCATAATTGATTCCTTTGGTTATATTCGATTTGTTCTTTTTCATTTAGCATTTTGATTTGTACAAAAGCAAGCAAAATAATAAAAAGGACAAGAGGGGTGAAAAAAAACTATACGCTATTGACAAACCTTTGTGATTTTAATGCTGTGTTGTTCATCTCTCCATCCACTGTTTCTTCTTGAGGTAAATCTTCATAACTGGAAATAAAATAAAAGTAGACCATTTGTTACTGTACAAATAAGTTTGAAAAATAAAAGGGTGTCATTTTCTTTGCAACCTGAAGCAGTGTGTTTCCAGTCTTCAACTGAAAGGTTCATCCAGACTTATTGCAGCAGTCTACAACTGACACATGATATTCTTGTCATGGGTAACAATGCAGTGGAAGGCACTGGGGTTATAAACAGCCAATTTAATGCACTATTTCCACTAATTTGTCAGATATGGAAGATGTTTAGCTCGTCAGGACCTTGGATAACAACGTGGTACTTCGAAAAAACCAAATACAACTGCAACTAGACAGAAGCCCAAACCAAAGTATTCAGTAAAGCAATGGCTGCATCACCACCTAGTGGCCACATGCGTTACTATAATTAATGTAAAATTGAGTGTATAATATTCGGCTGGTCAAAATAGGAAAAGGATATTTACAAAAAAACAAAACAAGAATGGGGGGTGGGGGGAAGAGAAATAATAGAAATCAAATCTCCAATTTTACACATGAAATGTCCTTGATTTTTCAAGGATTGCATAAACCCACTGCTTCAAGTCTCCTCTTCTCAGCTGCTCTAGGAGATACTTGGCCGAGGAAGAACACAGCACTAGTGTAGTGCTATTTACTATTGGGACTGTTTTACCTGGCAGGCAGATTTGAATTATTAGTATGGCCAATGGATGAAATATTATGGGAAAAAAATGACTACCACAATTGAAATATTTTTTTTAATAGATCAGATATAAACTGAAATTATGGTAAACCCTAGTTATTCATTGCAATTTATAAAGCTCATTTCTTCATATTTTATTAAGTTATAACCATTCAGCAATATCAGCAATATCTGAAATCCTACTGGTTCTCCTGCCAACGCTGCTTTCCAGGATCTTCCTCATCTCCAGAACTCTTCTTGAATGCATTTCTTTGTTCTTTAGACTCCACCACCTTATTTGCTGCCTGAAGAGACAGATGCATAATTTCCACAATATTGTGTGCATCAGTTTCCCTTCCCCTTCCCTCGAGTACACGGTCAGCTTGCCCAAGAGATGGGTAGCAATTTTATGTCCTATGTTAAGTTGAGATTGGCACACAATGTTCATGAAACTGCTATGAAGAGCAAAAATTTGCTATAATATTAATAATTCTTGCATTTGGTATAGCACTTTATCATGTCATCAAAACATCTGAACAAAAACAACAAAATTACATTTATAGAGCGCCCTTCATGTCGGTAGGACGTCCCAAGACACTGGACAGTCAGGGGTCAGGACCGAGCATGGGGGATGGGTGGGGTAGTGGTGAGGGAAGGCAGAAAGGTGGGAGGGCGACGGATGTGGAAGAGGAGGGTCTTGAGATCGGCCTTGAAGGAGGCAAGGGAGAAAGTGAGGCAAAGGGACTGTGGGATGGAGTTCCAGAGTGCGGGGCAGAGAGGCTGAAAGCCTGGCCACCGATGGTAGGGCGGGAGACGTGGAACAGGCCAGAGTCCACTGAAGGGAGGGAACGGGCAGGTTGCTAGAGAGTCAGCAGGTCAGTGAGGTAGGAGAGGGCAAGGCCATTGAATGCCTTCGAAAGTGAGGACGAGGATCTTGAATTTGATCCTCTGGGGGATGGGGAGCCAGTGGAGTTGGGCGAGGGTGGGAGTGATGGGGTCACGGAATCTGGTGCGTGTAAGTACACAAACTGCAGAGTTTTGGACGATCTGCAGCTTGTGAAGGGAAGAGTTGGGAAGGCCAATGAGGAGGGAGTTCCCATAATCGAGCCTTGAGGTGACGAATGCGTGGGTGAGGGTTTCGTCAGCCTGTGGGGTGAGGCAGTGGCGGAGTCTGGCAATATTGTGGAGATGGTGGTAGGCAGTGCCAGTCATGGCACGGATGTGGGGGAGGAAGGACAGTTCAGGTCAAACAAGATACCCAGGTTCCTGACTGGAATAGTGAGGTTGAGTGCGCAGCCGTGGATGCTAATGCTGCCAGCGCCTGAGGTGCGGAGGCGCTGGCGCGAGCCAATCAGGAAAGCCTCGGTCTTGCTGAAGTTCAGTTGGAGAAAGTTGTCCCTTGTCCAGGACTTGATGTCAGACAGGCAGTCGGTCAGGACGCCAGTAGTCTTGGAGTTGAGGGTAGAGGTAAAGAGATAGACTTGGGTGTCATCCGTATATATGTCGAAATTTACCCCATGTCTGTGGATGATGTCACCAAGGGGGAGCACGTAGAGGTTGAAGAGGAGGGGACCGAGGACAGAGCCCTGAGGAACGCTGCATGAGATGTTGCGGGGACTGGAGGAAAAGCCGTTAGCTGAGACGAAGTGGAGGCAGTGTGAAAGGTAGGACCTGGTCAAGGTCATTTGTGACCTTGACCAGAGCAGTTTCCGTGCTGTGGGCAGCACGGAAACCCAATTGGAGGGGCTCATGGAGGGAGTGAGAGGAGAGGAAAGAGCGAAGCTGGGAGGCAACGGCTGTCTCAAGGCGACAGGAAAGGGAGGTTGGAGATGGGCCGGTAGCTGGATAGCTGTGATGGGTCAAGGGAAGGTTTTCTTCAAGGTGGGGGTGATAGTGGCTGTTTTGAGGGGACTATGAACAGTGCCAGATGACAGGGAGAGGTTGATGATGTGGGGCAAGGAGGTGGAGCTGGGATTTAAGGAGAGGGGTGGGGATGGGGTCCAGGGAGCAGCTGGTGGGCTTCATGGAGGATATGGTGGTGATGACAGAGGAGGGGTTGATAGGTTCAAAGGTGTGGAAGGAGGGATGGGTAGTGGTCAGAGTGGGGGAGGTAGGGAGGGAGTGGAAGTTGGGAGGGCACTGGCAGCTGAGCGGAATCCCTCGATTTTGAAAGTACCAATATGGGATTTGAGCCCAAAACTTTCTGACTTCGCTGGGCTTCTTTAATCAGCTGACTCACAATCTGGAATTCCTCCCAGGATAAAAATAACATTTCTGCGAAACTTTTTTTTTAAAAAAAAGCAACATTTACTCTTTAAGAAAAATTAATATTTGCTCCTTCATTTCTGAGCATCTATCACAGTGCCTCTTGACCTGATTGCCTGTAACTTTGCATCAGGCCAATCTAATACAGAGAACAAGCAACTGATTCAAAACAGCTTTCCTTTTGTCATCATAAGACTGTAATCAGAGCTCTGACACATTGTAGGATAAGACAAAGCATAGCTCAGTTCTATGTTCAAACTGATGTAGTGAAGCAAAAAGAAGCAGTAATCGCCAAATGATTCAAAATTGTACTTACTTGGACAAGGAAATTTGATTTTTTATCAGATAAAAATTTATCAGCAAAATCCTTGGCACTCTCTATTAAATGTTGGTGATTGAAATTTTGAAAAAACTTATGATATGGATCTTTCTTGATGATAATTGTGGACAGCTTCCTTTTTAAAGACTGAAAGACAAAAGCCAGCACACCTCTTTAATATCGACATCTAAACTGTTTAAACCTAAGTAATTTTGCCTCTGTGGTTTAAATAGAAACTTTTTCCAATTACACAACATTCGACAAGCATCTTGCAGCCAAGAAAACCAAATCCGAATTTTCTGTGGCATCTTTAATGACGGGAGATGTGATCCTCATACCTGCTCTGATTCAGAGAGTCCTTGGCCATCAAACTGACGTTCCAGAACTTCTGAAGCTTTCCTCCAGTCTCCCTTCTCCATACAGACTGCCACAGCCTAGACAACAAAGACAAGGACACTCAAAAATTAATTTGATAGAGACGTGTGATTTTGTGATGCTCTTTAGTGGAAATTAGGCATGCCTAAATGTACGTGAACTTCAATCAAATCCCTCACTAAAAAGGTATATATTTAGAAGATTTGATAGAATTAAATCTTCCCACCTCTGTGACCTTTTTTATATTTATCACTTCACAGTTGACTCACACCCAGCACTGCGGTCATGAACAGTACCAGATAAACACAACTCTTAAGAGTTAAAAGTGCCACCAACCCTGTCCCATAGAGTTCAAAACAATAATTGGTCTGTTTCTGTTGGAGCCTTTTACTGTTCTCTACAGGTTACTTATGTTTCAGGTAGGACACTTCAATGTGGCAAGATAAAATACTATTAATAAAATGATAAACCTCAGACTAAAATGTGTAAAGCTCAGTATGCTGTTCTCTTCAGTTAAATACTGAAATAAATACTAATTTGTAGTACATTAACAGCACTAAAGACTTCATTCTCCAACTTCAAGCAATGCCTCATTCTCTTTTATTAAAACGCTCATCAAGCTCTGCACCATTTCTCCACACTTTGTTTGTTTGAGGTCTTTATATGTACACAGCTGGTTCAGCCAACTGAGCTTCTGAACACCAATCCAGAGGTTAAATCCTTCACTACCAACAGCCTACCAGAATATAAAACATACCACTGATATTATTCATGCTGTTGTCAATGTACCTGTCACCCACGGTAATTTGTGTTGTCTGGTGAGCCTATCAGCCTCATTATTTATAATGTTGTCAAGTGTACCAGTCATACACAGTATTTGATGTTGTCTACTATACTTGTCGGCCTTAGTATTTACAGTGTTGCCTGGTTTACCTGTCCTCCACAGGATTTAGTGTTATCTGGTTTATTTAATAAAATACAGTACCCCAAAGCTTTCAAAGTAAAAGTCAATACAGACTATAGACCTGACCTGAATTTGAAGCAACTGTTTCAATTTTTGATAAAGGTGATTTTTCTTTACGTCTTGGGCATCCCCCATTTCCACTAAAACTGATAACGCAGATTCCAGCGGTGTTATTCTTTCATCTTTGTCAAACTGGACATCTAAAAAAAAATCAATTAAATATCCTGATATACACAAAACATTAGTTAGGTTTGACTTTAGGAACTATTTAAAGTTGCATTTGATAGATAGAACTATTGATATAACTTCAGCCTTATAAAGGTTCTTATTCCTCACTGTGAACTGTCCTCTCTTGTTCCTCCTAGTCTCGTAAAATTTTCCGCTTCCCTGCATTACAAAAACACATTGTACCATACTTAGATCTTTCCTAGGTGCTGAAAACTGCGGAACTCCTTAGCTCCGCTAGACTTCTTTTCCTTCTATAACCTACAGGATTGAACTTGTCTCATCTCCCAACTTATCTCTAGAACATCAAGATGGCTGGTATGTCACAGCGTATAGGTCTTTCTATGACCTGAAAACAGATGTCCGTCAAATAGCTAATAAGGAAACTCTGAGGTCTGGGTCAAAAGCTGTTAGAAGGTGTTATGCGGAGGACTTGGTATGTGGAGGGGTAAACAGTTGCTGCTGAATGTCTGTAAGTGGTGAATCTACACACAGTGAACAGTGGGTTGGATTATGCGTCCAACCTATGCACAGCAGATTGTGCCAATGCTCTCACACAATTCATATTTAACTATGCTGTTCACCAGGAAGCTGGCTATCCACTTAGAGGATCAGATCTGCAATTCTCAGATGTCAAATGACCTACTAGTGACTACCCTCCTTGGTGGGGGGGGGGGGGGGGGGGGAGGGTCTCTTTGAAGATGAGGTAACTTAAAGGTGATGGACTTGGTAATGGATTGTCAGAATTGAGTCAGCCCTCTGTAATAGTCTTGGCAGTCCAATTCCTGAGCCAAGGTGGATCACAATACTCCCAAGGCATTGCTGATGACAGACCACTCAGCCTGGCTTGTCGGCAGCATTTGGAGGGTAGACAAATCATTGAAGGCAGGGATTCATCCCACGTTTTCTACTAATAACTGCGAGCCAAAGGATAGGGTAATCCTAGCTGGACAAACAATGGGAAGCTTGCTATGTAGTGCTTATAATGTAATTTTGGCTTGTTTGACTCCAGGCCCAACACACTTTAGGGGTTCCCAAAAGCCTCTTTCCAGCCAGAGCCAAGAATTTCCAAAATTAGGTAAACTCAGTGTACATTCTATTCCAGACCATGGAAATTTCCATGTGTAGGTGTGTAGAATTGTGTTTGGTTGAATATTCTTAAGTATGGTGTCAGTTTCCGCAAGTATGAGAAATCTGACCAAATAAAAATGATCTTCTAATTCATTTTAATAATGGTTTGTTGTCCTGCATTGAGGTTTTGAGCTTTGAGTAGTTTATAATATCCATCTTCCTACTGATTCATAAAATTATGTAATTCACCCATTATACACCCTACTATTATGAATCGAAGCCTTTTGTGCTGGTTCACATTAAAACAAAAGCTGTAAAACTGCAAAACGTTTTAAAAATAGGCCAAACTGCACCTAATCTGGTTGCTGAGCCCAGATTACAGTTCTGCACCTCAGGAAAAAGATGATTTTAGAATCCGGTTTATGATCAGTATTTAGAGTTGGAGCAGACTCCAAGTCTGACCTATTTACAATTTAATCTTAATCTTCTCAAATTCACCACTCCAAATTGGTGCTACACATTGTCAGCCAACTAAGGAGCCTGCAGAAGCTTTCAACCCAGGGCCAATTCACTGCCAAGATTTCTCACAGTGCCTAGAGTCCCAGACACATGAACATGATTCACCACTTACGTCCATCTTAGATGTCACTTTTTTTGCTGTCTGTCATCAAGTAAAAATAGCATCCAGAAAAATTAAACTTATGAGAGTGCATCCTGTCAAAAATACTGACAGGCAATATAAAAATGATCTATTTTTACTCAACTCACACTTTTGGATTTAAATGCAGGGTCTGGATTGAATCCAACTATAAAAAGGACACTTGTTACTGAGGGGAAACAAGCTGCATACAATCTTTCTCTCTTCTCTTTTTAATAATTCCCCAGCACTAAGACCTCCTCGACATCCTCAATATGAAAAGCACAAATCCTGGTCTTCACAAATGAAAACACTCTTTTCCCCCTCCTCTGTAAATAGAATAAAAAGTAACATTTACAAGGAGCACAACAGCAATCCTACTTGGAGCTGTCTCATTCAGACTGCTAACTCTCATTGGATCCACAAGTACCAGCTAGTACTGATCATCACTTTGTACACTCACACATTCACAGACAAGCATCGCAGTATATTGTCAAGCACCTGGCTGTTTCAGATTCCTTGGGCTCCAAGTTGGTAAACATCAGATTTGCAAGCAGTCATTTATTTTTTGAATACTCTGGAGAAGAGGAATAAATCTTGGGTTATATTGATGGAATTGTTTAGATTAATTGAGTGCCTAATCCATTAGGCACTGGATAAACATTTGATCTCTGATCCTATGATTCTAAGAATAGCAGACAAAATTGGAAGTTATTTTATTTTGGTCAGCTGGATGTCTTGGACACCTTTGGAAATCCATCATCATGCTTAAGAGTATCCAAACCAAACCGAATTCCATGCAACCCACCGATACATGCAAATAGGATATTTATATTTATTAGAATGTAATGCGGACTCTTTCTGGAGGGACACATCCTGTTTACCTAATTCCAGAGATCATTAGGCGCAGGTTAGCAAGAGCCAAGGCTTGGGTACCTGAGTGTGCGTTGTGCTAATGCTGGAGTCTGACCAACTAAAACTACATGACTTGCTATTGGGAGCACTGCATGGCAAGCTTTCCTGTTGCTTGCCCTACCCATTAGCCTTTGCTTGCAGGGTTAACATGAGGTGAATACGAAGAAAGAGTCCCTGCCCCCAATGACTGATTTGCTCTTCCAAATCCTGCCAATGAACCAGCATGGCTGTGCTGTCTTCAGCAGTGCCCTGGAGAATTGTTTTCTCTTGACCCGTGTAGAACCAGGATTCCACACTTGAGGCACATATCACCGTGTCCCACCGGTTGGCCCAGAGTTCAAGATTACGGATGCAATGCAAAAAATCCCCAGCTGAGTTCACCAGCAGCACAATATATTCTGAAACAGAAGCCCTGCAAACCTGTCAGAAAGGCCTGGAACCGATACACCAAGTCCACCCCCCTCGATGCCATCCAACACATAATGTCTTTCTTTCAAGCTTATGGCTATAGATAGAAAAGTAATTATACAACATATTAAAGAATTCAGTAGTCAGTTGAGATATGAATGTATTTAAACTATGAATTGGGGGGCGTGCGGGGGGGGAAGAGAAAAGGAGAAATACGATTATATACAAACAAGTAAAAAGAAAATGAGTTACCAATATTTTTTGCTTCAACGATTCGTGACAGAAGTTGGCAAATATGCACTTTCATAATCTGACCAGATCCTCCAGTTAACGGCCATTGAACAAAACCTGAGAAAGCAATATTAGACACATGTTAGTCACATCCTGAGTTCCTGATTAGCTGCCAAATAATTGATCTCGGCAGTTCTTACTTCAGGTGCTGCAAATACCATCAGAAAGATACAGCATTCCACAAAATAATAATCCTTGTATTTGATATAATAATCCTTGCATCTGACATAGTGTCTTATCACATCTTCGAGACGTCTCAAAGCGCTTCATAGAATATACTTGCACGGTTTTTATGTGGTACGACCCTGAGGTAAGATAGTAAGGAAGCAATAGATAAATCAAAGGGTTAATTTATTAATCAAAAGAAGATTAATAGACAGTTACACGTTTCAGGTTTACACTGCAGAAGATGATTCAGGGCAGGCTGATCTCAACTTTCTCTGGGGACACCAACACACCAATAATCCTTTGGCTAATTGTTTAGCTACAAACCTACAAGGCCCATGGGATCCAGTATCTCACAGTGTCCAACTGTGTCTAACAGTGTCCCATGGTGTACAATCTGTTAACACTTGTTTAGCTCTTTTATACCCCAAAGTTCGAACACATGATGACAAAATAACAATAATAAAGGTGTAGCCAGAGGCCATTCTACCCAATCAAAGTTCAGTTTGATTGTCCAATCGTATTCCTGAATTGATCCATCCAAATCATCTTTCCACACATAGAAACCATTGATAACCCCAAGGTTATCAAGGTTTTAATCTCAGGAATTTGGGAGTTCTTCTCAAAGCCTCTGATACCAAGTGTGAAAAGTTGAATTCGACAGTTAATTGCCCTTCCTTGACACCTTCACATAGTAAAATCCTTTCAAAATCTCGTCCAAGCAGACTGCAAGGCACCAAGAGTTCCATTAATCAGGACAATGTCAGGTTAACTCGAAGCCACACGTTTCTGACCTTGTGAATGTTGACTTTTGGTGTCTTCTTGGTTGATTGTAAAGTCTCTTGTGTATCAACACAATGTCCATTTTGTTTACTTGAGATAGCCTGTTAAGACACCATTCTTCTAAATAAGGAAAGGAATCACCCTATCCACCAAGTCTTCATCAAATGTATCACAGATCTCCAAAACACAGACCCCGTTCCATTTGTCTCAAATTCTCTCTCTCACATTCCTTAAGATCAATTAAGATTGTTCTAGTTCGTTACATACATTTTGGGGTATTAAACAATGATTTTAAACCTCTTCCTCCTGTAATGGGTGTGATCTATGAGAATCACCCACGATACATAATCACATCTGAACTCCCAGTTCAGGTCAAAATCCTCCTGACTGCCCAAATTAAACCATCGTCTGCATATGTAATAATTGTAATCTTTCAACAAACCATTATTTCCAATGTAAAAAAACCTTCAAACAGCTATTCTGACAATGTTCCTTTAAAACAATTGGTAATTACCATTAGTCTACATTTCCTTTGCTGCTTTTCATTGGAAATATTCATTAATCCATCAATTTAGTTAACAACAACTTGCCTTTATATAGCACCCCTCAAGCATGGTAGCGTCACAGAGTGCTTGAAAGGTCAAGGTCAACAGTGCAATTAGAATTGTGACGTCTGGTATGAAACCTTTGTGTCAATTGGTTCTTCAGATTGTATATTTTGCATTTGATTATAAGTAGGAAAAATCAGTTATGGGACCCCACCTGTGTCAAATGTAAGGGTGTGAAGCAAAACAAAATTTGGTTTCGTCAGACAAATTACATTTCCAGCATTGGTATAATTTGTCTCTCAAGTACATATACAATTATTATAGAACACTGTCCTTGTATATTGTATGTGACTTTAGTCCAAGACCCTTTCTATTTAATTAATTTTACTGGATTGTTCCTACATATCCAATACATTCTTTGAGGAATTCTCTTTGGGAATTCTACATATGCCTTGATTTACTTCAAACACTTCACAACGACATCAATGTCCTGTTTGGATACAAATTAGAAACACCATGCTTCATCCCTAAGCTCTCTGAGATGCCATCCAGCGTGGAGGGCGCTATATAAATCCAAGTTGGTGTTGTTGGTTTTATTAGCAATTTAGGTAATTTAACCCTTTTTATATAAATGTCTACTTCCAAAACTACAGAATGCAGTTTATCTGAATATGGATATTCAATCTAAATGAATAGCACCCTCCACTATTCTTTATTTTAGTATGAATTTACTTGATTCGTTGTTTCTTATCTAATCTTTCCACTTTAACTAATCTAATGGTTTGTGATTCTTATCATCCTAACACCTGCGCTTTATCACACCCGACGCATGCAAAACACACGATTGCCAATGTAGATCCTATCCTCTGTACAGGTATTGGCCACTGTTGTTAAGTGTGGAGTCCTGTAGCTCAGTGGTTAGAGCACTCGCTTTGCAAGAGAGAGACCTGAGTTCAATTCCAGGCAGAGGGCAAAACCTTGGGCAAGTTTCCTTACTCCACACAGAGCCTAATAATAATCCCTCCAAAAAACCAAAAACAATAATAAATTGGTCATTTTCAATCCACGACTGTTTGTGGGACATTGCTGTGCGCAATTGGCTGCCGCGTTCGCCCACAAATATACAGTCAATTCACTTTACAGTGTGTTCTGTGAAGCGCTTTGGGACGTCCTCCCGACGTGAAAAGCGCTATATCAAATGCAAGGATTATTATTATTAAGTAGATGATTGATTGTCCTATACCCCATTTTCTCCTTTGTCTTCCTTGCCCTGCCTCCCCGCTCTTTGTTAGCCCTTAAAAGCCTCTCCCTCCCAAAATACCCCAGTTCTGACGAAGGATCGTGGACCCGAAACGTTGACTCGCTTTCCTTTCTCCATAATAATAATCCTTGCATTTGATATAGCGCTTTTCACGCCTTCTAGACGTCTCAAAGCACTTCACAGAATATACTGTAAAGTGAATTGACTGTATATTTGTGGGCGAAACGCGGCAGCCAATTGCGCACAGCAGTGTCCCACAAACAGTCGTAGACTGAAGTGACCAATTTACTATTTTTTGAGGATTAAATGCTGCCTGACCTACTTAGTGTTCCATGGACTTCTCTGTTTTTGTTTCAGATTTCCAGCATCTGCAGTATTTTGCGTTTTGATTGACTGGGTTGTACTTGTCCACTCGTCTCCCCCCAAGACGGTCGAGATGAAATTGAATGTGAAGACCGGCTTTGTGGGTGGGAGGATTGATGCGAAAAGTCGTCCCAGAAGAAGTCACTGCATGGAAGGCCACCTCCATGGGTGTAACAAACCATTTTCAGTGTAGGAACTAAATCACAAGGTGATATCTCCCGTTCTTTGAACACTTCAGTTGGTTGATATGATTGCAGTAGTTAGTGACCATCACATGAGATGGGAACAGAAATTTGATCTATTTGCGCTACTGCTTCAAAATGCCCTAGCTTTACCAGGGATTCAATTGTAGCTTGGACATGATCAATAGCTGCAAAAAGAGTTTCACTTTATGTGGAAACCAAAGAGTTAATTCTCCACGAGCAGCCTGTGCTGGTCAGCAGAACTTTTTTTTCACACACAACCTGATTTCAGGGGTGCTGTATAAATTTCTTTCTCTTGCTGTTTCCCCCCCACCCCCCCACTTAACCGATCCTATTCTTTCGATCTACTTCTGTAAATCTCTTTATTTTAGAGAACACCATTTTGACCTTTCCTGACTCTTCACAAGTATCAAGCAGACTTAACTGTTTGAGTGTCTTCAGTTTAACCAATAAGTCTGTTCTGTCTGGAGGCATATCGGTGAGACACTAGGATCTATACGTTGCTCAGTTAGTTGTCTCATAGCTCTAAACTCCTTCCACAATCTTTCAAATTCAGAAGTAACCATTTGTCCCAACCTTTCTTCCAAATTTAACTCCTCTTTAGTACCATCAGACTGGCAGACATGTCCCTCTAACCGAAATGTATGGTGGGCATATTGCCACAGCTCCTCTTGAGCTTTCTTTAAAATAGATTCTACTTCTTCTGCCTTTCACTGTAAGGCTTTCTCCTTCTCCTAGAGTACTTCAACCTTTTCCATTGATTAATATCCTTAACACACAATCCACACGTCTGTACAATCTTAACTCATCAGGGTCCCTGTTCGATCGCCAAAATCTGTAGCGTATTTATGTGGCATGGCCCTGAGGTAAGATAGTACAGAGTCAATGGATAAATCAAAATTAACAATTTATTAATCAAAAAACAGTAATTAAGACAGTTACAAGTTTCAGGCTTACAACAGCAGAAGATGATTCAGGGCAGGCTGATCTTGACCTTTCCCGGGGACATCAACACACCAATAATCCTTTGGCTAATTGTTTAGCAACAAACCTACACAGCCCATGGGATCCAGTATCTCACAGTGTCCAATTGTGCCTAACAGTGTCCCACGGTATCCAACCTCTTAACATTTGTTTAGTTCTTTTACACCCCAAAGTTCAGATACATGATGACGAATTAACAAGGTGTAGCCAATCAAAGTTCACAGTTTGATTGTCCAATCATATTCCTGAATTGATCCATCCAATCATCTTTCCACACACGAGAGGCCCCAAGGTTATCAAGGTTTTAATCTCAGGAACTTGGGAGTTCTTCTTAAAACCTCTGATACCAAGTGTGAAAAGTTCAATTGGACAGTTAATTGTCCTTCCTCGACACCTTCAGGTCATAAAATCGTTTCAAAATCTCATCCAAGCAAACAGGACAACGTCAGGTTAACTCATGAATGTTTACCTTTGGTGTCTTCTTAGTTGATTGTAAAGTCTCTTGAATCAACAATGTCCATTTTGAGATAGACTGTTACCATTCTTCCAAATAAGGAAAAGAATAACACGAAACATATCACAGAACCCCAAAACAGACATCACTCCATTTGGTTCAAATTCTCTCTCTCACATTCCTTAAGATTAATCAAGACTATTTTTTTTACATAAACTTTGGGGTATCAAAGAATTATTTTAACAATGATTTTAAACCTCTTCTTACATACTGTAAAGTGAATTGAATGTATATTTTGTGGGCGATATAGTGCCTTATCACATCTTCGAGATGTCTAAAAGCGCTTTACAGAATATATTGTAAAGTGAATTAACTGTATATTTTGTATGTGAAACGTGGCAGCCAATTGCGCACAGCAAAGTTCCACAAACAGTCATGGATTGAACGACCAAATTATTATTATTATATTATTTATTTTGAAGGGACTATTACCCCGGAAAACGATCCGCCAATAACACCACAAGAAATTACATTTGTATGGCGCCTTTCACATCGGGAGGATGTTCCAAGGTGATGGACAGTCAAGGATTTGGACCCGAGCAGTGGGTTAGGATTGTGAGGGGTGGAGGGCAGGGAAAGTAGGGGTAGGAGAGTGATCGAAGGTATGGTCAAAGAGGAGGTCTTGAGAAGTGTCTTGAAGGAGGTAAGGGACAGAGCGAGGCAAAAGGACTATGAGCTAGAGTTCCAAAGAGTGGCGGAGGAGAGGGTGAAGACCCGACACTGATGGTGGGGTGGGCTGGGCGGGGGCTGTGGAGCAGGCCGCTGCCTGTTGAGTGGAGGAAGCGGACAGGTTAGTATGGCTTTAGCTGATCACAGAGGTAGGAAGGAGCAAGGCCATGGAGGGCAATGAAGGTGAGGCCGAGGATTTTAAACTCTATCCTCTGGGGGATGGGGAGCCAGTAGAGCCGGGCGATGGTGGGGGTGATAGGGTCACAGAGCTGGTGCGGAAGAGGACATGAGCTGCAGAGTTTGCAGAGTAACCATACAAAATGATATTTGTATAGCGTCTCTCATGTTGGGAGGACATCCCAAGGCGCTGGACAGTCAGGGATTTGGATCCGAGCTGGGGGTCCGGGAGGGTGGAAGGTAGGAGGAGGAGTTCTGGATGATCTGCAGCTTGTGGAGGGAAGAGTTGGGAAGGCCGACAAGAAGGGAATTGACATAATCGAGCCTAGATGTGATAAATGCATGGATGAGGGTCACGGTGGCCTAAGGGGAGAAGCAGTGGCAGAGTTGGGCAATATTGTGGAGTTGGAGAGAGGAAGAGCGGGTCACAGCACGGATGTGAGGTAGAAAGGACAGTTGAGGGTCAAACAAGACGCCAAGGTTCCGGACTGGCTCAGTGAGGTGGAGTGTGCATAATATTATTATTATATTATTATGGATGGTAATGCTGCAAGTGCCTGAGGTGTGGAGGCACAGACGGAAGCCAATCAGGAGGGCCTTAGTAAGGAAGGAAAGGAAGTAAGTAAGTAAGGAAACTTGCCTAAGGTTTTGCCCCGCCTGTGAATCAAACCAGGGTCCTCTCGATTGCGAGGCGAGGGCTCTCACCATTAAGCTACGAGGAGTCCTGTAGCTCAGTGGTTAGAGTACTCACCTCGCAAGGTTCGATTCCCGGCAGGGCAAAACCTTGGGTAAGTTTCCTTACTCCAAATGCCTGATAATAAACCCTCAAAGAAAAAAAACAATAACGAATTGGTCACTTCAATCCACGACCGTTCGTGGGACGCTGCTGTGCGCAATTGGCTGCTGCGTTTCGCCCACAAATATACAGTCAATTCACTTTACACTATATTGTGTGAAGCGCTTTGCGACGTCTTGAAGACGTGAAAAGCGCTGTATCAAATGCAAGGATTATTATTATTAGCTGTACAATTGTGGAGTCCTGTAGCTCAGTGGTTAGAGCACTCGCTTTGCAAGTGAGACCTGAGTTCAATTCCAGGCAGAGGGTGAAACCTTGGGCAAGTTTCCTTACTCCACACAGAGCCTAATAATAATCCCTCCAAAAAACAAAAACAATAATAAATTGGTCATTTTCAATCCACGACTGTTTGTGGGACATTGCTGTGCGCAATTGGCTGCCGCGTTCGCCCACAAATATACAGTCAATTCACTTTACAGTGTGTTCTGTGAAGCGCTTCGGGACGTCCTCCCGGCGTGAAAAGCGCTATATCAAATGCAAAGGATTATTATTATTATTAATATTATTATTATAACACGTACATCAACAAGTGCGGCGGAGATATCGACAGCACGACGGCTTAAGTGGCAGTGACAAGTTAAGGCGGGGGCCGAGTTATCCGGAGTTTGCTGTACAAGGCAATGTAACCCCATCAGAGCCCCTCTCACCACTCAGCCGCAGGGGGTGGGGCAGCGAGAGGGGTCCCTCAGGCCTGGAGGTGTAGTGACTGTGCGTGTGGCTCGGGTCGCCGACACTAACCGTTCATGGCGTTCCTCATGGCCGTGAACTCCTCCTCCATGTCCTCGCTGAAGTAGCGGAGCAGGCAGCAGCACATGAAGTCCAGGATCCAGCCGTTGGCCACCGTCACCGTCTGCTGGAACCGCGAGCTCTCCATCTTCACCAACATCCGCCCCCAACCGGAACTGTGCCGCCTTTTCTCCAGTCCCCCCGCGCACCCAGCGACCCCCTACGCACATCCGGTGCAACCCCCAAACGCCTCCCCCCCGCCCAATTGTTCACAGTCGCTGGGGCGAGATTGGGCGGCTTCTCGCCCAATGGGGCGGGTTTTTAATAAAAATAATAAATACTAATAATAATCTTTACGTTCGATGCGGCGCCTTATCACGTCTCCCAGACATCCCAAAGCGCTTCACAGAATACACTGTAAAGTGAACTGACTGCATATTTGTGGGCGAACCGCGGCAGCCGATTGCGCACAGCGGTGAATGTCCCACAAACAGTCGTGGGTTGAAGTGATCAAATTATTATTGCTTTTTTTCTTGAGGGATTGTTATCGGAAGCGCTTTGGGACGTCCTCCCGACGTGAAAAGCGCTATATCAAATGCAAGGATTATTATTATTATTATTATTATCGCGCGTGCGGCAGTGAGGAAACTTGCCCAAGGTTTCGCCCCCTGCCGGGAATCGAACCCAGGTCTCTCGCTTGAGAGGCGAGTGCTCGAACCGCTGAGCTACAGGACTACATTATTGTACACTGCGTTAAACTTGTTAAAACGTTCCCCCACCACTCCCCCACCGCCCCTCCCGAAGACATAGTTTTTAAAGCCCTAAACCTAAATCGGCCACTCTCCTACCCATTGGAGGCAACGCATAACGTTGGGCTATTTTCGGACTAGTATTTGGTGGACTTTGGGCTACAAATGTGCAGTATTTTAGTTTCTAGCAAACCCTGCTCAGCGCCCGCAGGCTCCACACCCGGACACTCACTGCCTCTGCTATGCCATGGTTACAGTGTTTGAATGAAATCTAACTCAGCGGGGCAAACCTTAGGCAAGTTACCTTACTCCACACGCCTCTGTTTGCCTCGCAGTAAGTAAGAACCCAGTTGTTAGTCGATTGGCAAATCTCTTTTCTGGGGATAATAATTCCTTCAAAAAAATTGGTCACTTCAATCCATGATTGTTTGTGGGACACTGTTGTGCGCAATTGGCTGCCGCAATTCGCCCATAAAATACACAGTCAATTCACTTTACATTGATATTCTGTGAAGAGTTTTGAGACGTCTCAAAGTTGTAATAAGGCGTTGTATCAAATGCAAGGATTATTATAATTATTATATAATAATAATAATCCTTCCATTTGATATATCCTACTTACTGCTAGGTAAATAGAGGCGTGTGAAGTAAGGAAAGTTGCCCAACTGGGAATTGAACCCAGGTTTTTCGCTGGCGAGGCGAGTACTCTAACCACTGAGCTACAGGACTCCACAGTCTGGGGCAGTCCTGAGGCCCAATGAGAGTGATTTGGATCATCTGTTGATACCCTAGTTTTAATCACAAACTACTCCCAAATGTGGACTTGGTAGATATGGTGGTACAGTAGAACATCTTACACAGTTACAAAAATGATCTTCTGTTTGAGCCCACTGGATAAAAAAATAGGAAACTGGGCAGATGGAAAACCTCACAAAACATATTAAACAGGTTGACCTCAAACGACTTAACTTATTCTTCATTTTGGTCAAATATTTTCTCCCCATTTCTCTTCTTTCCTCATGCCATTCTGCATAACATGACGGGTTAATAGGCGGACAATCTGTTCCAAGACCAATCCCAAGTGACCACTAGGAGGTGAATAGGAGTAAACCTGGGAGACTTGCTGAATGTGGGAATTAGGTTATTTATTCTGTACTGTTTTACAACACAGTAGAGTCAAGAGCTCCTTTTGTGAGGGGTCACAGTGCAAACTTGGGGCCCAATAACACTTTGGAGTTCCAAAGTGTTATATTCCTACACTGCAATCTTCACGATTTCAGTGCACAGGATCACAGGAGAGGTCCAAACAAAAAAGGCTCTCTGGCCCAATAGATCTCATCTTTCCAGAGTACAGAGAATAGTTATGGAAAAGGACAACAATCAATCAAAGGTAAAGATCCTCAACTGGAAGCGGGCTAATTTCAGTGAGCTAAAAAGGGACCTGGCCAAGATAGATTGGAAAGAAAGATTGGCAGGTAAGACAACAAAAGAACAATGGGAAACCTTCAAGGAGGAGATAGTTCGGGAACAGAGCAAATACATTCCCACAAAGGGGAAAGGTAGGACAGTCAAACCTCCCTGGATGACTAAGGAAATAGGGATTAAAATAAAACAGAAAAAGGAGGCTTATGACAAATGTCAGGTCCAAAACACACAGAATAATGAAATAGAATATAGGAAGTACAGAGGAGAAGTGAAAAAGGAAATAAGAGGGGCGAAGAGATTGTATGAGAAAAGATTAGCAGGAAACATGAAAGGAAACCCTAAGGTATTTTATAATCATATCAAGAGTAAAAGGTTAGTCAAAGGTAGGGTGGGTCCAATTAGGGACCCTAGTGGAAATCTTCTTGTTGAGGCAGAGGGCATGGCTGATGTACTAAATAAGTACTTTGCAACTGTCTTCGCAAAAGAAGACGATGCAATCAATGCCACAATATCGCAGGCGTGTGAACAGAAATTGGTAAGCTAAAAATCAACGGAGAGGTGGTACTGAAAAGGCTGTCGGTGCTCAACATAGATAAGTCAGCTGGTCTGGACGGGATGCATCCTAGGTTACTGAGGGAAGCAAGGTTGAAAATAGCGGAGGCTCTGGCCACAATCTTTCTTTGGACACTGGAGTGGTGCCAGAGGACTGGAAGGTTGCAAATGTTACTCCCCTGTACAAAAAGGGGCAGAAGGATAAACCTGAGAACTACAGGCCAATCAGCCTAACATCAGTAGTAAGGAAACTTCTGGAGACTATAATCCGGGACAATATAAATTCTCACTTAATAATAATAATAATCCTTGCATTTGATATATAGTGAATTGACAGTATATTTGTGGGCGAACGCGGCAGCCAATTGCGCACAGCAATGTCCCACAAACAGTCGTAGATTGAAAATGACCAATTTATTATTGTTTTTGTTTTTTTGGAGGGATTATTATTAGGCGTGTGGAGTAAGGAAACTTGCCCAAGGTTTGGCCCTGCCTGGAATTGAACTCAAGTCTCTCGCTTGCAAAGCGAGTGCTCTAACCACTGAGCTACAGGACTCCACTTAGAAAAATATGGTTTAATAAAGGACAGTCAACACGGATTTGTTAAAAGCAGATCGTGTCTGACAAACCTAATAGAATTTTCTGATGAAGTGACTGAGAGGGTGGATGAAGGTAGTGCAGTAGATGTAGTTTATCTAGATTTTCAAAAGGCATTTGACAAAGTGCCACATAAGAGACTTGTAAACAAAATAGAAGCCCATGGTATTAAAGGAACTGTGGCAACATGGATCCAGAACTCGCTAGGAGACAGAAAGCAGAGAGTGGTAGTAAACGGTTGCTTTTCTGACTGGAGGGAGGTGTGTAGTGGTGTCCCTCAGGGGTCGGTATTGGGATCACTGCTCTTTCTAATCTATATTAATGATCTGGACCTGGATATAGGGAGCACAATTTCCAAATTTGCAGATGATACTAAGCAAGGAAAACTAGTTAATGGTGAGGAGGATAGCACCAGACTTAAAGAGGACTTAGACAGATTGGTAAAATGGGCAGAAACGTGGCAGATGAGATTTAATGTGGAGATATGCGAAGCGTTGCATTTTGGTAGGAAGAATGAGGAGAGGCAGTATAAGCTGATGGTACAATCTTAAAGGGGGCAAATGAACAGAGAGACCTGGGGGTCCACATAAAGAAATCTCTGAAGGTGGCAGGACAGGTAGTTAAAGCTGTTAAAAAAAAATACGGGATACTAGGTTTTATAAATAGGAGCATAGAATTCAAAAGTTGAATGTTTATAAAATGCTGGTTAGGCCTCAGTTGGAGTACTGCGTTGAGTTCTGGGCACCACACTTTAGGAAAGATGTTAGGGCATTGGGAGAGGGTCCAAAGGAGGTTTACCAGGATGGTACCAGGAATGAAGGACCTTAGTTATGAGGAGAGGTTAGCGAAACTAGGATTATTCTTCCAAGATCAGAGACGATTAAGAGAGGATTTAATAGAAGTTTTCAAGATCATGAGAGGATTTGATAGGTTGAACCGGGAAAAACTGTTGCCATTGGCATGTGGGTCAGTAACCCGAGGTCACTAATTTAAGTTAGTTATTAAAAGAAACAGAGAGGAGGTTAGGAAACATTTTTTCACCCAGTGAGTTGTTCAGATCTAGAATGCATTACCTGAAAGGGTAGTGGAAGCCAATTCAATAACAACTTTTAAGAGGAAGTAGATAGATATTTGGGGAGGACAAGATTGCCAGGCTATGGAGAGAAAGTGGGCCACTGGGATTGAGTTGGATTGCTCTTTTTGGAGCTGGCGCAAACATGATGGGCCAAATGGCCTCTTTCTGTGCTGTATGATTCTATGATTCTATGAGTACCAATCCGGTTGTCTTCAGATTACAGCACCACATTGTTTCTTAAATAAGACCAGTTGTCTTTACCATCCTTTTTGGTAACCTGTCCAGCTGTTGATTACTCTCTGTGTAAAGACATACTTTTTTGTGTCTTTCCTAAAGTTATTTTGCCTTACCGGAACTGAAAATTAGAAAACAGAAATCACATTATTGCAAAATCGTGCGTATTTTACACAAACAAATCTGCCTGTAAGCTAACATTTTTTTTCGACAATCCAAGACTTGGGTGGACATTAACGACAGATGTTTTTACACTTCAAATTAAACAATCACAGTCAGTCGAACTTCTTTTTTTTCATGTATCTGACTATCGTCACATATGTAAGAATCGACTGGCAAGATGGTTGGGAAAATGTAGCAAGACAACCCAATGGACAGATCTTGGGGTTTGGACTGAAATGAAACATGCCAGTTGATTGTTCCGTGTCGAATTACTGTGTATGCATGATCATTTAGAATGTGCACATTTTTTGGATAGCCATGGGTACATGGCATGCATTTTTAAAAACCCTAATGCGATCTTTGGAAATGGTAGCTCAATAGTGGATAAGGAGATGTGTGGTAT